AGAGGAAAACAAGCATTATTTAATCTGGAGATTAAGAAAAAGAGAGGATCAAGTATTAATCCCAATATCCAACATTCAAAAGTTCCCAGCTCAGAGATGAGATATCCTTAATCCCGATTACTTAATCTGAGTATCCAATGGACACACTTTTGATTATCTTCCTATACCGTTCTGTCTTTGATATATAGAAGTGAAAACTCAAAAAATGTTTTTTTTTAAACTAGAGAGTCCCCTCTATTCAATTGGGGTTTTCTGAATAGACGGCTTACGAATTCGCATGCAGCAGACCGAGCCAAAGTAGGCAAATTTCAGAATTTGACAGGATTCCAGATTGAAAAACAACTATTATTTCATCTTCATTTTTGCTGATGATAAAGCTTTAAAGAGTCTGGTACCTCTTAAATCCAAGAGACTTTTTTAAGATATCAATTCGTCAATTAATGTTTCCCCAGATGCATTACGTACAAACTGTGCAATTAACGTTATGAAAATTCAAAATGGAGTAATTGGAATTAGAAAGGAAAATAAAACATAATTTTTTTAACTCATTTTTTAGGAAAATAAGAGAGGCTAAGAGACCATAAAACTACAATAACTCAGCAAAAAAAAAAAAACATATTATTTTTATATTAAAACTTTTCCCTGTCATTTCAGAACTATATTTAAGAACATCTTATTTTTGTTTTAATTAATGTATCCCGGTTTTATTTCTTACGGATCTAACAGACGTGAAAATGTAAATCAAAACAGACGCAAAGTCGCAAAAATGGAACCTTGCACTTGAAAAAACTGGGAACTTTTTGACCTAAAAAATCTGACATTAAAACAAATCTTTGCAACCTTTGAAATATTAAACCTTACATTTAACAGAACTTATAGTTTTAAATATAAAAATATCATGTTTAAAACAAAGATTCAAAGAATTAAAAAATAGAGTTTGAGGCATTAATTTTGGGTGTTTTTCCATTATTTTTAAAGAAATTAATTTAATATTTGTTACAATACCTCTGAGGAGCAAGGTTGATGGCAGGGATTATCTGTACTAGGCACCTAGAAATATTATAATGTTAAAATATTTGAGACAACCTTTATATTTATCATCTTGATCTTGATGTTGGTCATGATCCTGATTTTTATCTTGATCTTATAATCTTGTTTATTTTGATCATAAATGATCTTTTTTAAGCAATATTTAGGGGTGAATAATGCACTTTTAATAATCTGGAAATAAAAAAATTTTAAAACTGCGGTGTTGAATCTGAGTTCAAATAGGAAACTATTAGATTATGTAGCAACTAGACATAGAGGAGATATAAATTTTTTATATAAAGAAATATTTCTAATATCAGAGAACTTTCTGGCATTTTCTTTATTGTTTTTACAAATTGCTTACTAAACCTTTTCTGAATAATGTGATTGTTTAATCTCAAAGGATTTCTTATAAAGAAAATATTACACTACTACAGGAGACATTAGTTCCAAACCTAACACTTGGCCCATTTCTAACACTGAGTGTTAGAAATGGGCATAAAATGAAAGACTGGGTTTTTGGGATTCCGGCCCATATCCAGAGTAAAAGTCGATAGTAAAAACTATAACCATGCATTATATTAAACATGACGAGGACAACAATTCCCAATTTAAAATTTTTTATTTAAATCAAAATTATAATAGGAGTTCTTTTTATTTTTTTATTTTATTAAATATCTTGACCGTTTTCAAGACAATGTTAGGTTTTCCATTTTTCGAACATATCCTGAATTTGTAACAATGCCGCGTTTTCGAGACAAAACCCACTTTCACGTTTTTGAGTATAATCCTCAATTCAAAACTCACTTTCATAACTTACAAAATAATTCACAGAAAACAAAAAT